CTCATAAAGGCCATAAAGTTCAATGAATAGAACGATGCACTGCTTTAACAGTTAAATGATTGAATCCAAGCTGATGAATTTGACCAACATTATGATGAAGGCGCTGAACTAAAACAGCTATTTAGAGTCACTTCTTTATATAATCATGTAACTTTGGGACAGTAGAGCTTATGTTATTCCTTTATCTCAGAGAAATGGAGCTGATTATTGGGTCAGCTGCTACCTGCAGTCTTGGCGAGGGTTAGCCACGTATCCTGGGAATGCTCCGTCGGTGATGGTGCGACACATTTTGCTGTCTCTGTCAGAGGGCAGGAGTGTCCCTGCTCTCACCATCAGACCCAGGCAATGGTGAAAAGTGTTTCTCTCCTCTGCTCCGTCCTCTGTGAAGAAACAGTGACCCAAGGTGTCGTATCCCACCACGTCCTTCACCTGCATTATAAACAGACATCCTCTTTAGACTAAACCACCTGTTCAGCTTGGTCTGTGTTGCATCAATGAAAAACAGAAACATGGACGTGGTGAAGGAGCGGCCATTTGTCAGCTTTTTCACCCGTTCAGCTCCCCATTTCTAATAATCCCGCCTCCTTTGACCATTTAGGTGTTTTATGACTAAATTGCGGAGTTCTTTTTCAGCGGCTCTCTCCTCTGAAGGGCAAATCCAAAGGCCGATTACATCATAGTATGGCTATGCGGCCAACAAATGCGTTCTTCTTTTTACCCGATTTGAAGTACGGGTCCACTGTTTCCTCCAAAATGAGAATACTCCAAAACTGATATCCGTTCATCGAGAACCAAATATCTTAAATTTGCTATTCTGCCTAAATATAAAGAGAGTCATTTCCAAACTTTAAATGACATTTATCCTGCCAAACAATTCAACCAGTCCAATCCAGTCTTGAACATTTTTTTATTTATTGTAGTAAAACCCAAACATCCTCAGTTTATAACTGGTTAATCTCTAAATCCTTAAACATTCATTTTCTCTCCTCCTTCCCAATGAAATCTGATATTATTGCCCCATATAAACAAACAGAATTTATAATTAATAATATTTTTTTCATAC